TGATGCCTAGAGCTCACCACTCCCTGATCACCACCCTTGAGATTCTAAATTGCAACACTTAGATACTGCAACAGCCTAGGTCACATGGCTCCCAGGAATCCAGGCCCCATAACCTGAAATCTATCATGCTAATAAGGTGTCTGACTCGGGATGTCATGATAGGACATAGCCCTGAGTTGTAACATCTTGATTGGACCCCTACCCCTATATAAGCTTGTGCCCTTCTACAATAAACTAGATCTGCGTCAAGGAACCTGATCTCCTGTGTCTGAATGCGGCTCTACTGACACAGTCCCTGACCAGCCCTGGGGTCTGGGACCGGGCAGAAGTAGCGACCATTGGAGGCAGCACCAGGCGAGCAGAAGAGCAGCCTCAGAACCAGGTGAACAGAAGAGCGGCCTTAGCGCTGCAGCGAGCAGAAGAGCAGCCTCAGCACCGAGCAAGCGGAAGAGCGGCCACAGCTTGCGGCTGCAGCGAGGAGCCAAGGGTGGCACGATCGCAGGCAGCACCCATGCGATCAGCACCATGCAAATGGAGATCAGGTGCAGGCGGCACCCGTGCAAGCAGAGGAGAGGCGTCCAGAGACAGCACCAAGCGAGCAGAAGTGCGGCGAAGGTGGCGCCCAGGGCGAACGGACTGCGGCCGCACCCTGGTCCTCTGTAAAAGCACAAGTGCTCTTAACCACTGACCCATCTCTCTAGCCCCTATTTTAAATAACTTTTAAGTTGACATATTAATTTGGTGATGCAGTTTTCTGACTGGTAAATTCTCTTACTTCAAGGTGAAATGGCCCTTAGCTCGTGCTGCAGTTGTATTCACACAACACCTATGTCAGTGATTTCTGTCTATGGGTAAAAGTGAATGGGGTGCTGGAATGAGCCCTTTCTTCTCCACAGATTGCAGGTAACAACACGACTGAGTGCAGGTGGTAAAAGATTGTTTACTCCTCAGCCCTGACTTGAAGCACTGTTCCACCTCCTTGTTCTACTCTGTGATAAACTTAGTCATTATTTACTATATAGTATACTTTTAAAACCACTTCCAAAACAGAAAGCAGATACAAAGCTGATCATGTTTTGGTCTCTTCCATTACAGTCAAACCTGGCTTTATGAGTCAGTCTGTCAATATTTTAAACTAATCAACCACAGGTAGTCTTTAAAAGTTGGAAGCAACAGGACATGGTGGTGCATACCTTTAATCCTAGCATTCAGGAGGCAGAGGCAGGCAATCTCTGTGAGATCAAGGCCAGCCTGTTCTACACAGGGAGTTCCAGGCCAGCTGGGGTTACAGGGAGACCCTGTCTCAAAAAGACAAAAACCAACAAAAAATGGAAGCCACATGAAGTCAAAGTCTCTAGGAGTACAAGTCCCTCAGCTACTCACTCCACACATCTGCAGTAAACAAAATCTGAACCATGAAACACTGAAGTGGGTAAAACGAAGGAGTGAGGCGTAGACCCGGTCCAAATGTTGATCACATACGAACCTCAATTTTATAAAGTGTATTTGTAGAGAAAGCCTAGCATTGTTATAGTCACTAATTCTAAGACTGCAGTAAGGGATGACTCTACCCCTTTCACAGCAGTTGTACACAAAACATGTAAGAAGCATACAGCCACAATCCTATTATCTTGAGTATGCTGGGGTAAACAAACAAGACCCTCAAGTAGAACTTAAACATTCAAAACATAATTTTTCCATGGATTGAAGTCAACTGACATCAAAGTTTTAATCAAAGTAAAATTGTAACTACCAGAATAACTGAAATTAAATGGTTACCAACCAAGAGGTTATATGGAAGAAAACAAAAAAAACCTTATTTTTATTTTACACTATACAAGAAATACTTCTGTGATTTTAAAAAAAGATCATGGTTTAGTGAAAATTTACATATCTTCTATTTAAATGATTTCCTTTTCTTATTTTCCTTAAGGCAATGCATTTTTCTCAAAGAAATTCATATGCAAAGCTATATTCAGAAGGCAAAATATCTCTTCTGTCAAAGGCCCTCGACCCTTAGCCTCCAGCACAGCCCCCATCCCCAATACTCCATCCCATGGAAGTGGCAGAGCATCCTTAGGGCCAAGGTGCACATTTGAAAACCACTGCATTAGTCTGGTAACCATGGGTTTTACAATAACACCACAATCAGATGGCAAATGAGTGACAGAAAAAGCAAGTGACTTAGCAATTCTGGTATTCTACAACAATCATCAGATTTCCTTCTCATGTTAATGAAAACTAACATTCAGAGAATTAAGATGCAATAACACAAGAAAAGAATGAAGACCCCCTTTTTCCAATTATGTGTCAAAATAATAAATGTGCATTATAGAATTTAACTTATCTTTGCTTTTACATATAGTTTTTCTAATTTCATCTAAAATAATATGAAATTGAACTCAAAGAATCAAAAACAGGTTTTAATACTTGCTACATATTTTTAGAAGATATGATAAGTATATTTAGGTCCAATTTCTGTCTACTGACAAGGTAAAGGGTCATTTGCATACAGATGCCACAAATGATTTGACAATAACAGGAAAGCAAAATAAAAAAAATGTAAATGACAACAGTGGTTTAAAAAGTCAAGATAAGCTTTATGCTTACACACAGGGAGAAAAATACCTGATCACTAATTCTGGGAGAAATTAGCTGAAATCAAACAAGCTGCTAACAATAAAAACCTCTTGTTATAGTTACCACCAAAGGGCCAAGGCATTTTCATTATGGACCTATTGCTTCACTTAGTAAAACTGCCTTCAAAACTGCACTTTGACCAATAACATGTCAAAATAATTTTATAAGACAGAAGTACATACTATGAGTAAAATTTCTTTAAAAGTCACTTGTGGTGTATGGCTTTTTATGTATTACAGAAAAATACAACCATTTTGCTAATACTGAAGAAGGACTACTTCAAAAGGAGTCCTGTCTCAAAAAATAAAATGCAGAAGAGCCTGGGGTATAGTTCAGTGGTACAGCTCCACTTCAGCAAATAAGTCCAGGGTTCAATACTCACACCAAAGAAAAGAAACAAAAAACTGAGATATAGTTAGTATAGTCTGTATTACAATGTTTGAGGAAACAGTTACATGAAAACTTTAATTTGTTAATGCTAAAAAATAAGTCAATGTAGAAAAACCTATGAAAAATTTTATAATCATTTACAAGCTTGATATGTCTTGTCAAATATATGAGAGAATTTCCATTTTATGGAATTTTATTCACATATTTCATTCAGATTAATATGATTTCCAATTAAGAAAAGCAAGATGCGCTCGCTGGGCATGGTGGTGGACGCCTTTAGTCCCAGCACTTGGGAGGCAGACACAGGTGGCTCTCTATGAGATCGAGGCCTACCTGATCTACATAGCTAGTTCCAGGCCAGCTGGGGCTATAAGGAAACCATGCCTCAAAAAGACCAAAAAAAAAAACAAAAAACAAAAAAAAAACCAAAAACAAAAAAACCCAAGATGTTCTGAACACGAAAAAACTATTCTAAGTTTGAGTACAACACTTTAACACATGTGGGAGGGTTTAGTATCATTTTTTACACAAATGGTATTTTTGTTTTGATTTTTTTTTTTTTTTTTTTTTTTTCCCCTCTTCTGGAGACAGCATCTCACTCTGCAGTCTAGGCTGGCCTGGAATATGTGGGTAATCCTTCTGCCTCAGCCTCCCAATGCTGGAATTACAAGCATGAGCCACCAGCTCACAAGTGATTTTTAAAGTTTGTAATACTCCATTAAAATATATAAAGACAAAAGTGCTTTTCTTGTAATTTAGGATTTCTTTATACAAGTTTAAATTTTGTCTTTGATTTTGCATACACACATGCTGGATGAGCTCTAGTACAAGCTATGTGAAAAAATTGAAAATTTTTAAAATTTCATATAAATAAGATATATTTCTAATATTACTCTACCAAAGAAAATAAATTCACTTATTTTTTTAAGAATCATATGGATTTATTTTAATGGAAAGTCTTTACTGTAGGTTTTACTTACCCATAATTGTTATTTGATAGTGGAAATTGAATACACATATATGTATATATTTAGACATATATATTGCTCTTTTATATCATTATTTTTTAAATTTTTAATAACTACATGATTAGAAGAAGCATTTCACTACAGCTTTAACATATTCAGTAACACACTCCAGAGCAAGAGTACATCTCTTTCACCAGTGGGTGCAAGTTTCTAGGTTCACAGTTAACAGTTATACAATATTGAACTCAGTATAAGCCCTATAAGACATCTTGACTTTATAGATATTGTTGGTCTTTAAAATTCACCCTCAGTTTTACACATCTAAAATATGTTTATTTCCTTTTTACTTAAATTATGTGAGATCAGTAAATATCCTTCTGAAGGATATTTAAATACTTAAGTATTTAAATGGTTACCAATCATTTGATAGTAGTTAAATATCCTTCTGAACTACTATCCTTCTGAACTACTATCCTTCTGATAGTAGTTAAATATCCTTTGGACAGTAGTTAAATATCCTTCAGAAGGATATTTAACTACTGATCTCACATAATTTAAGTAAAAAGGAAATAAACATATTTTAGATGTATAAAACTGAGAATGACTTTTAAAAGACCAACAATATCTATAAAGTCAAGAAATCAGCTATCTTGTGTAAATTCATGTTAGGAGTCACATTACCTACTTTCAAAAATTGGTACCTAAAAATAAAGAGGGCTCAAAGGTGCAAAAGCAACTACTAGATACAATTACAAAAAAAAAAAAAAATTTACTAACGTTATGTAAATATAATATGTTAACAGAGGCCTCTTGCCAAAAGTCTTCATAGTACATCATTTAAATGTGAATAAATTGGTGTCAAACAACTGGCAATCAGCAAAATAAGTTCTCACTAAAACCAGATTTCTATTACTTCACAACTCATAACTTATTGCACACACTTTTAAAAGCTCCTCTATTCCTTTCATGTACTTTATAAGTAGGAAACAGATCAGCACTCACCTCTTTCCAAGGACTGACAAACTGTGTACGAGCATATCGGGTTAGCATGTGGATTATGACCACCTGACCCCACTCTTCAACATCAACCAATAAATTACAAAGCTTGCGGTAATTCTTGTGAATCAGATCTATTCTATCTGGGCATACTTCTTCAAAAGCCATCACAACACTGCCAGCTACCAGCTAGGAAAGAAAGAAATAGTAATTCATTAAAAAATACTTTCTACCCATCAGAGAGTCTACTAGGGTGTTACAGTGGTATAATCACTGTTATGATAATCAGTATTTAAAGTATTTAGTCATTCAACAAAATTAGTTCACATTTGAAAATTTGAAAGTACCACTTCCTTGAAGAATAATTATTATGGAAAATTAATACTTTTCTGAAGAGAGATAAATTCAAATAAGTTTATTTTATATGTTTAAATTCTAATAAATTATACATGAGTTTAAATATTAACAATTCAAGTTTATCATTTTTAAAGCTTATCTAAATTCTAATGTAAAGATGCATTTCTTTGTAACAACATTCAGAAAAAGATTTAAGACAATAATAAAGATCACACTGTCAGTTTTAAATGAAAATGGCAATAATTCCACAATGAACTTATGTTAAAAACTATAAACAGAACTCATAATGTGGTTAACAGAAAAATACTTTCAAATCTCATACATTTCAATCCACCTGTTCTTACCAATATAATTTATTTTCAAAGAAAATACACTGACTGAAATTTTAGCACATCAATATTAGTTTTAAAACTGCATATAAACAGGAATAATATATTACTGAAAAGGGGCAGCTTTCCCCAAGACCAATTAATGAAATCAGAAATGTTGACTTCTGGATTGTTATACTCTTAACAAGTCTTGGGTAAAATTAACATTCCTTTAGCATAAAGATACAAGGCAAGCAGAATATTTAATATACAAATTCTTCTACATATGTACCACTGATATATGTGCAGTTAGCCAACACTATAATAGGGTTTTGAAAAACCAAATTAATATCTTACTTATTCTAAACACCAGGGGTTTTCATTTTAGTGTCTAAAATTTCCCCAATGACTAAAAATATGCAATTAAATAGAAATATAACTTAGTGAAATGGTACTTTTTGAAAAATATTAACTACAATGATATTCATATTTGGAGTATTTGTCCCTCTACTTGGCTGACATTTAGTTTATTAATATGCAACCAACAATACAATTGAAAGAAAACAGCTCAGAATATAGACTTGCTATTATGCTAAACCAGTTTCAAGTCCTGTGGGGATTTTATGAATTACCAATCAGTATAAACGTGAAGCCGCATTTATTGACTCCAGCCCTACCCATGTACTGGTGCCTGCTGGTCCCAGCATGTATGCACCTCAATCGAAAAAGCAAAGAATTGATTATTTGTGTGAACTAAATAAAAATGTATTATACATATAATTTTCTATTTGCTATTGATATGGAAAGGAAGTTAAATGCATGTTTTCAACTACATATTTTGATGTCTTCTGCATAAATTACTCTTCAGAAAATATGTTCACAGCAATTTATAACCCGTGATTATGTAAAAGTAAAATTAATACAATTTTAAACTCTCTAAAAACAACTAGGTTTATTATTTCAAACTACAGAGTAAGTCACTATTCGTGAAATATAAGCATTTATATATTTTACATATAAATCAATCAATATCTATAAGCATTGGTAAAGAATGTTAAATACAAAATTCAAGTACTAAGTAAAATTATCTGTGAAACTAAACTTGTTTTAATTTTTTTATAGTTTTAATTTTTAAATGCTATATAAAATCAAGGTTTTTCTTTTAATCTAGAAAATGTTTTCTTCTAAATCCTTAGACACCAAACAATGAAATGGAAAATCAAGCTTTACAAGATATTCCATTTATCAAACTACTACAATAGGCTCACTATAAGGCACTAACACATTCTAAATCACTCTCAAACACCCTAAAAAGGAGAGAAAATAAATACTACAAATGAGGCTTAAGAAAACACTAAAAACAGAAGGAATGGAAAAAGAATACCTTACAAAAGAAAACTGACCATTTTAGGCATATTTACTTCATTGCACAGTTTATTTTAAACAATCTGACCTAAAGATAACCACTGGCAGAAGAATTTATAATTTTTGGTCTACTAACTGTTCAATATTTATAAAACATTCAGAATTAAAATAAATCTACTCAAATTTCAAAATCAAAAATATTGGTTTCCAAAAAACAGTTAATTTCCATCTTATTGTGTCAACAGTAGATTTTCACATAAGGAGAAAAATAAATCACTCCAACAAAACTAGCAATGAGTTCATCAAATTCAAATGCAGTTTTCCATTTATGTATTTTTTATATTAAAGCAATAAACATGGTTCATTTATCTCCCCTTGGTTGCCACATTTTTCTGTGCTGTTGCTATGAACTTCAGCCATTAGCTGTGCTCCAAGGTAAACTACATGAACCATCAACAAAAGTGACACCCCATCTATGGAGTTCATATTTTCTCTAGATTATCTATGCTAGTTGACAAGCTGGTAATGAAAAAAATCACACTAAGCAAATGGTTCCTCTAATAACAATAAATTTTCTATAAAATTATGAAGGGTACAAAACGTTTCCTTGCATCTATTTTGTCATGAATTCTAATTAACGTTGCAAAAATCTGAGAGTGCTGGGTCATCACAAGAAGTGTATCCAGCTTTGATTGATAAGATAGTATAAGTTGGCCAAAGCTGCCAAGATTTTCTTCCCTTAAATTAATGGCCATCCAACCTGCCCTAATCATACAGCCCAAATCATATTCCCCTTCTTATTTCAATTTTCTTGAGGCAAGGAAAATAGAAAAGATCAGTCATTTATCTTCTAATAGCTGGATAATAGATCTATCACAATAAAACATCTGCACAAACTCAGGGGTGTTATTTATTTTTTTTCCTTCCCACAACTGTGAGGCTCTTGCCAACATTAGATCAATAATTTGTAAAATGGTATCTTATCCTTATAATTTAACTATGAACTACCAATTTATTCATTAAACATAATTCTGTAACTAAATTTGGGAACAGGAAACTTTGTATCATCAAGAATATATAAATAATTCAGTTTTCAGGAGGTATTAACATAATTTATCTTCCTAAGAAATTCTGCTTTCTAGGAGAAATTTAAATGCTAATAATAGTATTTTGTTGAAATTCACTTGAAAGGACCAAGAAATAAATATGACCCTGCTTTTAAGGCATTCTAACTAAAAGAAAACCCAGTTCCATGTAAATGTTCAACAAATGTAAATTTCTACATTTCAAAGAAAAACAACAAAGAATGTTATAAATTCTAGAATGAATATATAATTGAACAATTGGAAAGGTTTGTATCAAATTAGGTATTAGGCTATATTAATCAGAGAAGGCAAATGAAAGTGGCATGAATCTTGAAATATTAAAATTATATTAATAATAATTGATTGGAGACAACAAATACATAGATAAAGTGTTCCTTTCTAATTTCACTGACTGGAGATGTAAGGTTTCTAAATGTCTTTGTGAATAGACACCTTCAGATAATAGTTACCTAAATAACATTAATGTGTTCATTCAGTTATATTACCAGAATTATAAGCTTAAATTCAAAGTGATTTATTTTTAGGCAAGAGCTATCATGTTTTTTATAGCAATATGCTTATCACATATCAAAAGATTTTTGAGATCTCATTAGTAAGAAAATCTTTCTTAGGTTAAGAAAAGCAATAGAAAGTATAGCCCCAAATCAAAAGGGCTTAAGTGAAAAAAATTTAAATACACTAAGGTCTTTTCAAATGTCTTTATCAATAGATCCCCACATTGAAAATAAACTCAAAATGTGGAAACAGACTGTTTCACTTGATTCAGAAGATTTTAAATAACCTTGATTTGTGATTGTTAACTTTTTAAAACCTTATTCTTTCACAATTTCATATATATATATATATATATATATACATAAAATATGTTTTGATCATATGCCTCCTTATCTTCTTATTCCCTTCCCCCTTCTACTGAACCCCTTCTTCCCAGCAAGTCCCTGTCTTATTTTCATGCCTTCTTTTTGATGTGGCCCATAATCCCTTGTAAATTGTAATTATCAATGTTGACATCATAAATATGGGGAGAAGGTACCTGTCTTCCTTCAATAAAGTATTACATACAACTAAAAAAACTACTTGGTGAGCTCCAGGACACTGAGGGACCTTGTCTCAAAAAACAAGGTAGAGGGGAAAAGGTGCTAGCAAAATGGCTCATTGAATAAAGGCATTTGTGGCCAAGTATGTCAAACCAAGTTCAATCCCCAGAACAAACATGTTGGAAAGTACTGATTCCACAAGTATCCTCTGACCTCAAAGCATGCATTGTGGCACATGAACATGTGTACACACACACACACACACACACACACACACACACACACACACAAACGCACACAAATCTATGTCTAGAGCATAACTCATTAGTCAATTTCCAAACTTTAAACTGTATATAAATAACATGCTAATTACTCTTGCCTTTACTTCTCCTTCACACCTCCTATTCATGATTCAAGGACTTTCTTTTCCTCTTACAGACAAGAGTTAAGCAATTTGGGAGTCTTTTAGATAGTCTTTTAAGGGTACTCCAATTGCCTCACCCTGTGTCCCTGTTCAGCATCGAAGAAACCAGAGCAGTCAGCGTCCCTATTCCCTATTGGTAATTTGGGCAACCCCTTCAGAGGACAGTGTGATAAGAATAGGAGGTAGGAATTGGCTAGGCAGTTAGGGAAAAAAGACCCCCAAAAAATGTAGCCAGTTTCTTGGCTAAACGTCAAAATGTCCTTGGACCTGTTAGCAAGATACTCTGTTCCAAAGGCCAAAAATGTCAAAAGTATTTGGGAGCTTGTATCTAATCCTTAAAAGATTTTAGGGTTACCTCTTCAGAGCGGGGAACGATGGAGGGGAGGGAGTGGGCATGGATTTGATCAAAACACTTTATATGCATGTATGAAATTCTCAATAAAGGTTTTGTAAAAGATAAAAAAAAAAAAAATACAGGGCTGGTAAGATGGCTCAGGGAAAAGGTGCTTATTACCAAACCCCAGGCTCCGTATGGTGGCAGGAGAGAACCTCCTCCTGCAATTTATCCTCTGACCTCCACATATATATACTT